TCTCACCTGTCCATCTCACCTGTCCAGGTGGGTGGGGATGTCCCAGAGACCAATTACCTGTTCATGGGCGACTTCGTGGACCGCGGCTTCTACAGCGTGGAGACCTTCCTGCTGCTGCTGGCGCTGAAGGTGAGCTCACCTGGGCAGGTGGGACACACCTGGGACACACGGGTGTGACACGGGTGTGACACACCTGGGACAGGTGTGAGACCGTCCTGCTGCTGCTGGCGCTGAAGGTGAGACAGGTGGGACACACCTGGGCAGGTGGGACACCTGGGACAGGTGGGACACGGGTGGGACACACCTCAGACACGTGTGAGACCTTCCTGCTGCTGCTGGCGCTGAAGGTGAGCTCACCTGGGCAGGTGGGGCACACCTGGACAGGTGTGACACGGGTGTGACACACCTGGGACAGTGTGACACGGGTGTGACACAAGTGTGACACACCTGGGACAGGTGTGAGACCTTCCTGCTGCTGCTGGCGCTGAAGGTGAGCTCACCTGGGCAGGTGGGGCACACCTGGGACAGTGTGACACACCTGGGACAGTGTGACACGGGTGTGACACGGGTGTGACACACCTGGGACAGTGTGACACGGGTGTGACACGGGTGTGACACACCTGGGACACTGTGACACACCTGGGACAGTGTGACAGGTGGGACACGGGTGTGACACACCTGGGACAGTGTGACACAGGTGTGACACGGGTGTGACACACCTGGGACACTGTGACACACCTGGGACAGTGTGACAGGTGGGACACGGGTGTGACACACCTGGGACACTGTGACACACCTGGGACAGTGTGACAGGTGGGACACGGGTGTGACACACCTGGGACAGTGTGACACGGGTGTGACACAAGTGTGACACACCTGGGCAGGTGTGAGACCGTCCTGCTGCTGCTGGCGCTGAAGGTGAGACAGGTGGGACACACCTGGGACAGGTGAGACAGGTGGGACACGGGTGTGACAGGGGTGTGACACTGCTGTGACACAGGTGATACAGGTGTGACACAGGTGTGACACGTGTGACAGGTGTGACACAGGTGTGACACAGGTGTGACACGTGTGACAGGTGTGACACAGGCGTGTCACACCTGGCACAGGTGTGTCAGAGGCGTGTCACAGGCATGTTACGTGTGCACGTTTCTGTTATACCTGGTACAGGTGTGACCGGGCGTGTCCCAGCCGTGTGCCCTGTCACACACATGTCACACCTGTGTCACACACGTCACACACGTCACACACGTGTCACACACATGTCACACACGTGTCCAGGTGCGGTACCCGGACCGGATCACGCTGATCCGGGGGAACCACGAGTCCCGGCAGATCACGCAGGTGTGCCCTGTCACACACATGTCACACACGTGTCACACACATGTCACACACGTGTCACACACATGTCACACACATGTCACACCCGTGTCCAGGTGCGGTACCCGGACCAGATCACGCTGATCCGGGGGAACCACGAGTCCCGGCAGATCACGCAGGTGTGCCCTGTCACACCCGTGTCACACACGTGTCACACACATGTCACACACATGTCACACACATGTCACACGCGTGTCACAGGTGCGGTACCCGGACCGGATCACGCTGATCCGCGGGAACCACGAGTCCCGGCAGATCACGCAGGTGTGTCCTGTCACACACATGTCACACACATGTCACACCCGTGTCACAGGTGCGGTACCCGGACCGGATCACGCTGATCCGGGGGAACCACGAGTCCCGGCAGATCACGCAGGTGTGTCCTGTCACACACGTGTCACACCCGTATCACACACATGTCACACGCGTGTCACAGGTGCGGTACCCGGACCGGATCACGCTGATCCGCGGGAACCACGAGTCCCGGCAGATCACGCAGGTGTACGGCTTCTATGACGAGTGCCTGCGCAAGTACGGCTCCGTCACCGTGTGGCGCTACTGCACCGAGATCTTCGACTACCTGAGCCTGTCGGCCATCATCGACGGCAAGGTGCGCAACGGGGCACACCTGGGCACTCACCTGGGCACCTGGGGGCACCTGGGAACTCACCTGGGCACCTGGGCACACACCTGGGCACACCTGGGCACACCTGGGCACTCACCTGGGCACACCTGGGCACACCTGGGCACTCACCTGGGCACACCTGGGAACTCACCTGGGAACTCACCTGGGCACACCTGGGATAGACCTGGGCACACCTGGGCACCTGGGATAGACCTGGGATAGACCTGGGCACTCACCTGGGCACACCTGGGCACTCACCTGGGCACACCTGGGCATTCACCTGGGCACCTGGGCACACCTGGGGCACCTGGGAACTCACCTGGGCACTCACCTGGGAACTCACCTGGGCACTCACCTGGGCACCTGGGATAGACCTGGGCACTCACCTGGGCACCTGGGCACAGCTGGGAGTCTTTAAAGGGGGTTTGAGGTGCACCTGGGCACACCTGGGGACACCTGGGATAGACCTGGGCACAGCTGGGGGCACCTGGGAACTCACCTGGGGGCACCTGGGCACAGCTGGGAGTGTTTAAGGGGGGTTTGGGGCACACCTGGGCACACCTGGGCACTCACCTGGGCACACCTGGGCACACCTGGGCACACCTGGGCACACCTGGGAGCACCTGGGGGCACCAGGGGCAGCTGGAAGGGGTCAGGACATCCAAGGTCGCCCAATGATCCCAAATCACCCAAAATGTCCCAAATCCCCCAAATCCCCCAAATATCCCAAATGCCCCAAATTAACGAAATGTCCCAAAATGTCACCAATGGCGCCAAATGTCCCAAATGTCCCAAAATGTCCCAAAATGTCCCAAAATGTTCCAAATGACCCAAATCCCCCAAATGTTGCAAAATCCCTCAAACCCCCAAAATGTCCCCAACGTCCCCAAAATGTCCCAAATGTCCCAAATGATCCCAAAATGTCCCAAATCCCCCAAATGAACCAAATGACCCAAAATGTCCCAATGAGCTAAAATCCCACAAATTGCCCAAATATTCCCAAATCCACCAAAATGTCCCAAATCCCCCAAATCCCCCAACAGTCCCAAATCCCCCACATCCCCAAAATTCCCAAAATCCCCCAAAATCCCCAAAATCCCCCAAATCCCCCAAAATCCCCCAAACTTTCCCGAATTCCCAGATTTTCTGTGTGCACGGCGGCCTCTCGCCGTCCATCCAGACCCTGCCCCGATGACCCAAATCCCCCAAAATGACCCAAATCCCCCAAAATGTCCCCAAATCCACCAAAATGACCCAAATCCCCAAAATCCTCCAAATGTCCCCAAATATCCCAAAATGTCCCAAATCCCCCAAACGACCCAAATTCCCCAAATGTCCCAAATCCCCCAAAATGTCCCAAATCCCCTAAATTCCCCAAAATGTCCCAAAATGTCCCAAATCCCCCAAATCCCCCAACAGTCCCAAATCCCCCAAATCCCCAAAATCCCCAAAATGCCCCAAAATCCCCCAAACTTTCCCGAATTCCCAGATTTTCTGCGTGCACGGCGGCCTCTCGCCGTCCATCCAGACCCTGGACCAGATCCGCACCATCGACCGCAAGCAGGAGGTGCCGCACGACGGGCCCATGTGTGACCTGCTCTGGTCCGACCCCGAAGGTACGGCCGGGCACACCTGGCACAGCTGGCACACCTGGCACACCTGGGCACGGGTGGGGCAGGCGAAAATCCCCGAAAAAAACCCAAAATCCCCGAGGTTTTACACCGAAATTCAATGAATTTGCCCCAAAAATCACCTGAATGGGCCCCAAAAATCACCTGAATGTTCATGGTGAGGGACAGGTGGGCACAGCTGGCACACCTGGCACACCTGGCACACCTGGGCACGGGTGGGGCAGGCGAAAATCCCCGAAAAAAACCCAAAATCCCCGAGGTTTTACACCAAAATTCAGTGAATTGGCCTCAAAATTCACCTGAATGTTCATGGTGAGGGACAGGTGGGCACACCTGGCACACCTGGGCACACCTGGCACACCTGGCACACCTGGCACACCTGGGCACGGGTGGGCAGGCGAAAATCCCCGAAAAAAACCCAAAATCCCCGAGGTTTTACCCCAAAATTCACTGAATTGGCCTCAAAAATCACCTGAATGTTC